TTGTATCTGCGACGTTCCACACCCAGACTGATGGTGCGCCCCCCAGACACGCACACACAGTTTCATGTGTGCAGGCCGCCCATCCAACACCGACACTCGCTGGAGTGGACACGTGCGTGTGCCAACAACGCATGTGTTGGTGTGAAAGAAGGCCGCTGATTGGTTGCATGCACTCGGCTAAGTGAATAGTGGTTAACGATGCAAGTGCCATGGATCGTTTACGGGAATAGATCAAGTTTGTTGTGGGAGAAATATGAGCAAAGCCATGTCTGCTGAGCCTGTTCACCCTGGAAGCGACCTCGTTGAATCCGAGCTTGCTGAGTTTAAGTATTAGTTGAATCCGGGTTATTTTTATTGGTTTTAAAGAAGAAGAAAAAACAGGGAATTCATCTCCTTTAGTTGAATCCGAGTTCTCATTGACTCCGAGCTCATTGAATTTGAGTTCCACTGTATTTTAAGTGAGGTTTTTTTTAAATTTTGAGTTTGAGTAAGACATTTCACGTTGAGTGAGATTTTTAATTGTTTTTGAGACGGTACATCTGATCTTGTTTTGGACATGTTCGACATTGTATGAGTATGAAAGATGTTTCACATTGTGTGTGATGTGAAATGCTGTGTGTTATGTTTGATAGTATATGTGTGGGTGGTTGGCGGATGCTCTGGTGTGGTTTGCTCCCTTTTTCCTTTCAACGTCTATCGTCTTGATCTGTCCTCTTTCTTTTTTATGTTTGTTACTCTCTTTTAACGCCTCTAATCTTCAGCGCTTATGTGACCTAATTTTGTTGCAAGTGCTGTAAAATGCTTACTCAAGCAAAATAAAACAAAACGATGTTACCTGAGAATTGTAAGTCAGAGTCATGACTTATATACTTTGCTTATCCCTTATTTCTTCTCATATGTTAACAGTTTGATTGGGTTTTTTTAAATTAAGTTTTTATCTCCTCACTTTTTACAGCGGTGATCCATTGTCCAATACAGAAGTGAATTTCATGTCTAAGGAAGACGCCATCGCATTCTGTGAGAAGAATGGTGGGTACTTGTCTCTTTTTTCATTTGAATGAATTGATTTGGTCTCAGTGTTTTTTCCACAGTTAAATTGTTGCTGTGTAAAAATACTTTAACACTTTGCCATCACATCTCGCCGGTCAGCGATGTTTGCCACCCAGTTTCTTTGGATTTTCCCCAAAATGCCTTTGCCTTTCTTGGCAAGGGTTTTGACTATATGAGCCTCGTGATGTCAAAGTGTTAAACCCCCAGGGGGCTCCCGTGGTCAAGAGGTTACGGAGTTCGCCTCTCTTCAATAGGTCCTGGGTTTGAAACCTGACAGACGGAAAATTTTCTTCTCTCAAATTTTCTCCTTTCACCTCCTTTCCTGTTCTGTAACCGTGTTCTGTAATGTGCCTTTGTCTCCATTTTTTGCTCCCATCCCCATACCTTTTCCCCCTCCTCTCGGCTCCTGACTCTTTCTGCATCTTTGGTACTGCTACTTCTTGGCTCCTTCTTACTGCTCTCTTTCAGCCATAACCCCTGATCTTGTAGTAAGATCTAACACCTAACATTCTTGATAAACGCGAAAAATCTCAGAGGTCACGTGTGCAAGTTGAGCACGTTAAAGATCCCTTGGTGGTCCGAAATCAATAAGAGTAGGCTCCGGCCGCCACTCGGGCAAAATTCAAAATTAATTCCTACTGAAAATGTTTAATGTGTCCCACACGCTCATATGACCTTACACAGTTGCGAGCGCTGTAAAACACTTCCCAAAACAAAACTTACATCCTCTTTCTTTACTGCATTGATTAAACTCTTGTGTGCCTTATGGGTGGTTGGGGGGTGCCTGTGGTAGGTCTTACTTTTTTTGTGTCTGTCTTATCTGTCATACTTTTTGTTCTTTGAATGATGGTAATAGTATTGATGTGCTTCTCTTGTCTCAAAACTCCTGTTTTTTCTTGGGTAATTGATGGTTGCTCTGGTGTGGTGTGCTCCTTATTTCCTATCAGACATCTTTCATTTGATCTCTCCTCCTTCTTTTTTTTGACCTCTGATCTTTGGCACTTATATATTTGTTTTGCAAGTGCCATAAAACCCTTCCCTAAAAAAACCCAACTGTTTTTGGTTCTCCAGGATGGGACTGGTTCATCGAGGCGGAGAAGAAACCCACCCCCAAGAGAAAGTCGTACGGCGCTAACTTTTCCTGGGATAAAAGAACCAGAAGGTCCACCAAGTAGCCACGCAGTGGTGGGCTCCGGTAGGGTCTGGTGGGTTTTAGCAGAAAAACAGGAGGAATCATTGCGGGAATGATGTGAAAGAGCATTAACCCAGCTAGTTGTTTTAAAGGGCATCTGTTGGTGTTGCTAAGATAGGTTTCTTAGAAGATTCGCCATGCAAGCTGGATTTTCTTTCGGGTAGTTCTTGAAGTTATGACAAGTGAGCAGAAATTTGTTCTCCATCTTGAAGAAATGTATCGTGAGCAAGGGTGTTTAAAATGGAAAGCCAAGAGGTAGTCTGTGCCACCTTATGTGAGGAGTGCCATGCTATAGTGTTGGTCTCTTTTTGTCTGTGATGTCCACACAGAAACTGAACTTTCAGCGACAGCATAAGTGACACTTGTTGACAAGTCTTGAATTTCTATATCCATAGCTAGAGATTACATGCTTTTCAAAGTATAAATGTTTTGTTCTGAGTGCTTATCTGCCCCTGCCTGAATGTACATAAAAATAATAAAATGAAGGTTGAAAAACATTCCCTGTTTTTCTGAGTATTTTATCCTTCTCTGAGTGGTTGGAGGGCGCCAGTGGTAGGTCCTGTTTTTTTTTCTTTCCCTCTGTTGTTTTTGTCTGTGTTGGTGGTTGGAGGACACCATTGGTAGGTCCTATTCTTTGGGAATTCCTCAGGTTTTTTTCGGTCTGTATCTTGCTTTTTCCTAGATCTACTGCTAAATAAACATTACTGGGTACATTTATTGTGTCAATGAGCTTTTGTCTACTCAAATTCTGCTGGAAAAGGAGATGTGGAGTCTGGTGCCTCTGACTTTGCTGTTTTTGTCTGTCCTCCGGGCGTGTCCCAGCTCGATAGCCTTAATTGTAATTGTGTTTTACTTCACCATCACCACAATTTAGATAATTTAGTCTGTTCTCTTTAGCCTTAATTGTAATTGTAATGTTGAGACTCATAGCAGCCCACCTCCTAAATGCTCTTAATTGTGTCGATGGGGGGGTAAATTGTCTACAATATATTTTTTTGGTTATAGTTATACCCTATATCTTCAAAACTATCTACAATATTAATGTCTAGTAGAGCATTTCGCTGGCCACCCTATAATCAGCAGGATTGTTTCCCTTCCTTTCCTTCCATATTATTGTAAGGAAGAGGCTTGCCATTCTAAATAATGATGGCTAGACTGACAAACAGCCAAAAATAGGCCTACTGATTTGTAAATAAATTTTTTAGTTTGCAATACCTAAAGTATTTGTATTCGAGACGAAACCAAAAGGTGCCTTACTGACAGTACATCATGTACGTGTTGTATTTTAAACCTGAATAATGATTAATGGGACCTGTGTACTCAACAGGTTTCTAATAGGGCCTAAAACTATAAGGACGGCTAGACTGGTAGGCTATCCGTACTTAATAATGAAGGCTGAATTGTAAATAAAATTTTAGTTTGCAATACCTAAAGTATTTGTCTTTCAGACGAAACCAAAAGGTGTTTTACTGACATGCATGTATTTTATACCTGAATAATTACTAGATCTATGAGACCTGTGTACTCAAGGGCTGGTTTCGGTCAGTAGGACCTTACCTAAGTATGACTAGACTAGACTGGCAGGCTAGCCGTACTTAAGTTCGGCAAGCCATTTCTTAATTGTAATTGTCTTTTATACATATATATGTATGCCTCTTACAACAAAAATTGCGAGCGCCGTGAAACACTTACACAAAAAAACACAAAAAAACACAAACATACCCACAACATCATAATTTACTTTTAGTCATTCCAGGCAAAAAGAAAAAAAGAAACATTCATTATTTTGTCATTTTTATTCAACATGAGTCAAACCAGATGTTCTTTTTTGTCACCAAGAGTAACATTAATTAAAAACAAACATTTTTTTTCGTTACTGTTGTCAGCATCAGAAGAAAACAAAATTGTCACTCTCTTGTCATCAAGTGGGACACCAGGAGCAAACAAAATAAATGTTCACTGTTTTGTCACTGATATCAACATCAGTGTTAAGGATTTTGCAACTTTGAGCGTGAGCAACATCATTTTAAAACAATATAAGATATATAGAGAGATAGTGGATATACGTGGAGGTGACAATATCTCTGTTGTAAATCACGAGATTCAACTCCTATCCCATTGCATTGTTCTTTAGTCTAGAAAAAAAATCCTCTTTGTTTTCACCAAGGACAGCACTATCATCAGTATAAATCGACAGCCTACTATTATAACGGTGATAACAATAATTTACACAATGACCTACGTCATTTTTTTCTTCTGAGAAAACGTTTTTAAGAGAAAAACAGTGTTTAGTCAATCTAATGACTTGAGCTAAAGTGAAAATGCCTGCATCAGGTTTTCAGTACATGACCCAAAACTACTATGTTGAGGGTACAAAACAGGTGCCAGGCATCTTTACAATACAAATAATTCAGTATCTAATAACCTGAAACAAATGACTTATAACATTATGCTACTATATTAACTGTTCTGACCGTGACATAACGATATCCTGTCACAGACTGCATGGTCAGCAGAAATGTAAACTCCCGTCTCCTAGCCTTGACCTAATGACCCCCACGACAGTTCCAGCTGTTGCCGTTTGTTCCAAATCTCCAGTAGGAGGCGCCACTTCAACTCGGGGTTTTCCCTGACGCTGTTGTTGTCCGGGTCCTTGTGGTGGTAGAACTCTCCGTACACGAGCAGCTGGCTCAAACGTGCCGCGACACACACAGGAAGGACGTGGAGCTCCGCCCAGTTCAGGGCATGACGGGACTGGTAGCCGGCTATCACGTGAGCTGGCATGACTAGAGGGTCGAGCTGAGAGCGTGTGGTCAGTGTGACGTGAGCCAGGGCCACGGCCAGTTCGAACACGGTGTAGGAGATGTGGGAGTCTTGGAAGTCCAGCAGTCCTGAGATGACCAGTGGTGAGTTGTCCGTCTCCCGGTCCGAGCTGGGGAAGGAGTGACCACCACTGCTGACCAGCACGTTACACAAGTTGAGGTCACCGTGGATCTGACCTGCAGAATTGGAAAGGACGTTTTTTCAAGGTCTTTGCATTTTGTATTTCACTCCGAAATCAACATTATTTAGATAACAGGGATGCCAAATCTCAGGTTTTCCAGGCTTTTCCAGGTGTTTTTTTTTTCAAAAATCATTTGGCATCCCTGGAGAAGAAGGCCACTGATATAAGGTCCTTCTTCTCAAGACAGCTAATTTTATAATATTACTGGAATTGGTGATACAAAGTCCCCACACCCTTGCAAAGGAAAGGGGACAGGTAAGAGAGATGTTTTTGTGTGCTCATTGAAATACTTAACAAGGTTTGTTTTAGGTGAGATGTGATGCTCCGTTCATTTTCAGGGTTTTTTTAAAAAATCATTTGGCATCCAATGGGTGGTTGGCGGGTGCTCTGGTGTGGTTTGCTTCTTCTTTCTTGTCAAACATCTATCGTCCTTATCTCCCCTTCTTCTTTTTATGTTTGTTACTCTCTTGTAACAGCTCTAATCTTCTGGCGCTCATATGACCTTATGCAGTTGCGAGCGGCGTAAAAGTTCTACTAAATTTTGCATCCCTGAGATAATTTAAGAGGCATGCTATTACCCGATCTGTCAGCACAACAGATCTGCCTTTGAATTGTCCCATTAATTAGTGTATGCTTGTTCTCTTTTGTTTTGTGGGGGGGGGGGTATCTTATCAGAGGTGGACGTTAAATTGGGACGCCAACAGGTGCTAAGAAGAATGCAGCATCCCAAGAGACATGTAGTTACTACATGTAGGTGTTTTAAAAAAAAAAAAACTTCCCTACTTGGGAATCGACTCGGGAATGTCTTCTGCGTGCAACGGCGGAGAGACTAACTGACAAGCCGTTACACCACAGACGCCAGTAGTGACTCAATTGTGGGAGACAACAGACGTATTGAGGGTCTTTGTTTCTGTGCCCGTTTAACGTCCCTCTCGACACAAGTAAGGCTATTTGAAGTGGAATCCACGCCGTTACCGAAGAGGGGAAAAAAGGGAAAGGTGGTGATTTTTTTGTGGGTTTTTTTTTGCCCATTTGCCCAAAGGCAGACATTTTTAAATTATTTTTTTTGGGGGGGGACCTCTTCTAGGTCCAACTTATGTTCATCCCCTCTGTTGTTTCGAATTCGAGTCTGTTTTACTTTACCTGTACCCTAAATGAACGTTTTTGATTATGTTGGTGGGTCGTTGGGGGGTGCTCTGGTGGGGTTGTTCCTTCTTTCCTATAAAAAATCTCTTGTCCTGATTTCTCATCCTTCTTTTTTTACTCTCTTGTAACACCCTATCTTCGGCACTTAAATGACCTCATTGTGTTGCAAGTGCCGTAAAACTCTTACTTAAACTTTTTTTTTAAACTGATTGTGTTGATGGGCTTCTCTTCGCTCACACCGAATAACCGTGGTTGTGGAGATGTGCATCTCTTTACTGTACAGCTGGGATAAATAACGCGTCGTGATAAGCTCGGGGTTGGGGGGTGGGGGTGGGGAGGGGGCACCCAATAACATGTACAATGTTGGCAGAGAGGTAAGATGTATCAGTGGCCAAATCATTCCCAGTACAGAAGGGAAGTCTGGAGTGACTCACCTCGCGTGAACTGACCACACAGCGGTAAAACTTGGTCCTCGAACTCGTTGACCACGGCTCGCACCAGTTCACGCCGCGTCTCGCCGGACACTGTCCAGAGCTTGTTCAACACGTCAGACACATTGTCCAGTCTCCAGGTGAACTTGTACTTTTGGTAGAACGGGTGGCGGAAGTTCTGAAAAGGACAATGGACAACAGGCAATCGGCAATGTTTGTCGGTTGATTTTTTAAATTATGAAATAATTTATAAAATTGTGATTTTGATTTCGTGTGTAATTGACAAGGCAGAAACAAGTATTGGTGCTGTAAAAACCAGACTATTGTACCATGATTTACTTTAAGCTTACCAACAGGTGAAAAAAAACACCCTATATGACAGATTTTCTTGTCCCTTATCACCCATCAAAATGTTTTAAGACCAAGATCAAACCTGTTTTCAACACCAGATTACCTTAACAAATAGGCTAATGGTGAATGGGTTTTCAAATTTCCTGGCCCATCTGTGTGAAACGCATTGTCTTTAGAGCTAAGGTCAACCACTTTTAGAAATCTTCAAAAGAAAACAAAGCTCGACTTTTTTTTCTCCGAAATACTACTCCCTGACTGTCTTGCCATTTTAGGCTGGGGTGCCGCTCTTTCGAGTGGTCGAATCTTATAAGTTCATGTTAAGTAATTGTGTGCGCACCTGTGCATTTTTTTTGTGTGTGTGTGTGTGTGTGTGTGTGTGTGACGTGCCTCTCTCTCTCTCTCTCTCTCTCTCTCTCTCTCTCTCTCTCTCTCTCTCTCTCTCTCTCTCTCTCTCTCTCTCTCTCTCTCTCTCTCTCTCCCTCTGAGTGTGTGTGCGTGTGTGTGTGTGTGTGTGTGTGTGTGTGTGTGTCGATGCTGTTTGTGTGTGTGTGTGGGGGGGGGGGTGTTATACCGGAACTGAATTTGTAAAGGGGACGTGTTTCGCGTTCACCCAAATCCACAAAGAAATAACCAAAGCAAACGAACAAAGTCACACCAACAACGAGGAGGAGAACTGTGCGACGTATTGTCCAAACCGGAAGAGACGGTCTGGGGTCATGTTGACCTGGGAGAGGAGGATGCCTGGAAGCCAAGACCTTAGGCACACTAGCCGCCCGTCGTACTTCTCACCTGAGGGTGTGGAAGGGGGTGGGTGGTAGTTTAGCTTTAGTAAGAGTTTTACGGCACTTGCAACACAATTAGGTCATACAAGCGCAGAAGAGTAGAGGTGTTACATGTATTAGAGAGTAACAAAGAAAAGACGCGGGAGAGATAGTAACAATATTATTATAAATAGCTGATAGAAAAGAAGGAACAACCACATATCAGACCGTTAGGGGGTTGGGGAAGGAGGAACAGAGATGTACACTTTTTCCTAGCCATATCGCGGACTCGGTAACAACGCAGTTTTTTGTGTTGGTTTTGAGAGGCAATTAATCAGAGCATACTGCTCAATACTAGATCTAGAACCACAAAATAATGATTTGCTTTTCAGCTTTAGTTGTACTTCTCCAAGTGCAGAAAGTGTTTATTAGATTGTAGAGTTGTGTATAATAGTGCGTGGAGGGTTCTCTAATGAATACATAAAATCTTTTAATTTAATTTTTTCATGAAAAAAATTACCCCCCCCCCCAAAAAAAAAGACCATAAATAAATAAATGAATAAATAAATAAATAACCCGACTTGATGGATGACGTCACTTACCAGGGCACGACAGGCGGGAGGCTTCTCTTCCGTCCATGTCCGATATAGTAGATTGTGTGCTCACGCCAGCCGCCTGGGAAAACTTCATCAGAGCGTTTACAGCTACTGGTAGGCCGACGGGGCGGGGAAGGGGGGAGGTTGTGAAAGTAACAATTAAGAACATATAAGACATAGATATAACTCTAACCTATTATGACAAATGATACACGATTTGTTTTGTTTTGGCAAGTGTTTTACAGCGCTCGCAACTGCATATGGTCATATCAGCGCGCGGGACACATTAAAAATTGTCAAGAGACCTGTCTTTCTGTACTAATAAGCAACTGCAAGATTGAAACATGACACCTGGGACAGGGTGACCAAACTATTAATTCAAAATGGACTGGATGAGTAAGGAGGATATAACATCCCCGCAGAAAGACCGTGATTCTCTATGAACATTCTCCTCACTCGGAAATCGAACTCGGCTTTCCTGCACGCAAAGGCAAAGCGCTATAACCGCTAGATCTACACCACAGATGGTGTTTTGTCACTCGAACAGTGTCGAGTCTTTAGTTGAGTGAGTGGTTGGCGGGTGCTCTGGTGTGGTTTGCTCCTTCTTTCCTATCAAACATCTATCGTCCTTATCCCCCCTTCTTCTTTTATGTTTGTTACTCTTTTGCAACCCCTCTCTGATCTTCTGGCGCTCATATGACCTTATGCAGTTGCGAGCGCCGTAAAACCTCTACTAAAAAAAGGTTTTTGTTGAATGTTGCTCATATTATTGCCTATAATTGCCTATAGTGTAGCTTGTGTCACTGACTGACGGGCTGCCACAGTAACGTAGGCCTTCAGGGGCTGCTGTCATGAACATGTGCTGCTGGTGAAGGAGGTGGGTCATTCCATGAAAAATGAATCTGCACTGACACAGAGAATGAGGTTTACTTTAGTAAGAGTTTTACGGCACTTGCAACACAATAAGGTCATATAAGTGCCGGAGATTAGAGGTGTTACAAGAGTAACAAACATAAAACAGAAGGAGGAGAGATCAGGACGATAGATGTCTGATAGGAAAGAAGGAGCAAACCACAGCAGGGCACCCGCCAACCACCCACACAGGGAATGGGGAGATGATGGCCTGCTGCCAAAATGTTGAATCTAGATGGAGCCGGGTATTTGTTTATTCCTCTTTTGGGGGGGGTGTTCGTGGGGTTTTTTTTTCTTTTTGTGAAAGGTTTTAATTTATATAATTAAACAACAACAACAACATCAACAACAACACTACCACCATCATCAACAACAACAACAAAAACCACACCACCATCAACAACAACAACAACAACAGCAACAACAACAACCATAATAACAAAAAAAACCATAACAACAACAACAACCATAACAATAAACAACCATGACAACAACAACCATAACAACAACAACGACAACAACAACAACAGCCATAACAGCAACAATACATAAAATACATAAATAATCACTGCCTTGAATTCTTTTTCCAGCAGGTCATCATCTCCACATCACACGTGTCACTGCATTGTAGCTTTATTTACAATGGAATGGTCCTAGCACACACACACCTCACACACA